CGAGCAGGGAGCCCGATGCGGGACTCGATCCCGGGACTCCAGGATCATGACCTGAGCCGAAGGCAGTCGCTCAACCAACTGAGCCACCCAGGCGCCCCCCAAACCCTTTTTTTAAAAAATTTGTATTACTGTATATTTTAGGCTATTTGAAAATAAAGTCAGCAAATGGAAAATCGTAAATGAATCAAAATAAGCAGTTGATGCTCATTATTTGTGGATTCCATATTTGCGAACTTGCGTACTCACTAACCTTATTTTATAACCTCAAAGTCAATACTTGGGGAGCTTTTGCGCCATTCTCGGACATGCGCAGAGCATTTGTGTTGCCTGGTGTGCCCATTCTCAGCTGAGGCTGAGCACGGCCATGTTCTGCCTTCTTGTTTCAGCTCTCAGACTATAAACAAGTACTTTTTCGTGGTTTATTTAGTGCTACGTATTTCACACTTTTGTTGATGTTATTTGGCTGTTTAACTCCCAAGAGTAGTGCTGCCTAGTGCCTCTGAGCCGTGAGAAGGCTAGGATGTGCCTTCCAGGGAAAATACCCATGTTAGATAAGGTCTGTTCGGGCAGGAGTTACAGTGCTGTTGGCTGTTCCGAGTTCAGTGTTAATCAAAAATATTAAATAAGGTATCTTTAAATAGAAACACACAAAAGGGTTATGTATTGCCTGCCTGATGAAAATGGTAGGAACGCAACCCCGTATTTCCTGCAGGAGCTGTAGTTCAGGTATTTGTTAACTAGTGTCCGCGGTGACGTCCTCAAACAAACGTTGCCAGTAGTAAGAATCAACTGTGGGTAAAATGCACATTATCTTATTTGCATAGAGTTTTATATTTTTGAAATGTTTTTCACATGTATGATCCCTGTTTTTTTATGTTAGACACATAGGTGGATAGTATTATTTTTATTTTATACATGTGAAATATGAACCACATATATATTTAGTTCCAAATCGGCTTTTGTCTTGAAGTGTTTCTCTTTTCTGTTTTGTTCTGTTTTGTTTTTTGGGCAAATTTAATTCAGCCTGAAGAAAACAAAGATGATATGCATTATGATGCTGAGATTATCCTAAAAAGGCAAACCTTGTTAGAAATACAGAAGTTTCTCAGTGGAGAGGATTGGAAACCAGGAGCCTTGGATGATGCACTAAGTGATATTTTAATTAATTTTAAGTTTCATGATTTTGAAACATGGAAGTGGCGATTTGAAGACTCCTTTGGAGTGGATCCATATAATCTGTTGATGGTAAGATGGGACAAGGGGGACATAAGTAACAGCTCATTTTTTTTTATTCTTTTTTTTTTTTTTAAGATTTTATTTATTTATTTGACAGAAAGAGACAGAGCGAGAGAGGGAACACAAGTGGGGGAGAGGGAGCAGCAGGCTTCCCGCCGAGCAGGGAGCCCGGTGCGGGGCTCGATCCCAGGACCCTGGGATCATGACCTGAGCCGAAGGCAGACGCTTGATGACTGAGCCACCCAGGCGCCCAGTAACAGCTCATTTTTAAAAATGCTTTAAAAACTCCACCATAGAACCCTCCTACACTGTTGGTGGGAATGCAAGTTGGTACAGCCACTCTGGAAAACAGTATGAAGGTTCCTCAAAAGGTTGAAAATAGAGCTACCCTACGACCCAGCACTTGCACTCCTGGGTATTTACCCCAAAGACACAGATGTAGTGAAAAGAAGGGCCATATGCACCCCAATGTTCATAGCAGCAATGTCCACAGAGCCCAGATGTCCATTGACAGATGAATGGATACAGATGATGTGGTCCATATATACAATGGGATACTCTCAGCCATCAAAAAAAAAAAAAAAAAAAATTTTGCCATTTGCAACAACGTGGCTGGAACTAGAGGGTGTTACATTAAGCGAAATAATAAGCCACTCAGAAAGACACTTCTATCTCGCTGATAGTGTAGAATTTAAGAAACAAAACAGGATCATAGGGGAAGAGAGGAAAAAATGAAACAAGACGAAACCAGAGAGGGAGACAAATCATAAGAGACTCTTAATTATAGGAAACAATCGAAGGGTTGCTGGAGGGGAGGGGGGTGGGGGGACGGGGTAATGGGTGATGGTCACTGGGGAGGGTCTGTGATGTAATGAGCACTAGGTACTATGTAAGACTGATGAATCACTGACTTCTACCTCTGACACCGATAATACATTATATAGGTTAATGTAAAAATTAAAACCCCTCCACCGTAGTTACGTTAACCCGTGCGCAGACGCTTCTGTTTCCAGGGCCGTGCAGCAGAATGGCACAGATGCTGCTGCGTGTGTGAGGCCAGTTCTTTCGTTTCTGCTGAGGATTATCATTTCTCGGCGGGGACAGTGGCTTGGCAGTAACCCTGCTCTCCGCTTCTTCCTGTTTTCGAGGTGCTTCTGTGTCTGCTCTGTATCGTGGGATTAGTCGCTACCGAGCTGTGGACGTATGTGCATTGGTACACCCAGTTGAGACGTGTGTTATTCATCAGTTTCCTCATCAGTTTGGGATGGAATTGGATGTATCTATATAAGGTACTAAATAGGTGGAAGGTTTTCATGTTTTTCAGCGTTACTTCATGATAACAGAAGACCTCAGTGCCTTTAGAGGAGTGTATAACCTTGCCTCTGATCACAGATGCCGGATTGTCATCTGGCAGCCGCTCACCTGTCGCTGGTGTTTCGGGTCCCTGACCAGTTTGGTGCAGGCCTGTTTTCCTAACCCAGTTTCTCATGGGTAGCATCTAGGTGGCTAAATCAGAATAGAGCTAGGTGGATGCATTTTAAAAAATTTTATGTAGGTAGTTTAAGGTATGTCCTTTTATTCTTTGCCAGAAAGGATATCAAAATGTTATTTTTTAAAGTTAGGTTATTTTCTGAATATGAAAGTGCAATGTTGATAGTAGACGATTTAGAAAAGATAGAAAGTTATACAGAGAAATTTGATTTTTTTAAAAAGATTTTATTTGAGAAAGAGCGAGCAGGAGCAGGGGGAGGGGGAGGGGCGGAGGGAGAGAGAATCCTCGAGCAGGCTCCCCACTGAGCAGGGAGCCCAACATGGGGCTCGATCTCAGGACCCCGAGATCATGACCTGAGCCAAAGGCAGATGCTTAACTGACTGAGCCACCCAGGTGCCCCAGAAATTTGATTTCTTTTTTTTAATTACCTATAATTTTGTCACCTAAAGATAATTGCTGTCAATATTTTGAGGTATTTCTTTCCGATTTTTTTCTAAATTTTAATTCTTTCAAAATTGGGATCATGCTGAATATAGAAAGTCAAATGAAGCACTACTGTTCCTGTTGAAATAGCATTGAAGGACAATTTTAGATCTTTCTAGCAGGGTGAATCAAGTGGCAAAATATTTTTGATGAATTTATCTGATTAAATCATTGTGATATATCCTTAACCTTTTGCTCTAAGTTCTATAGCTTCTAGAACTAATTGTTTGCAAATTAAAGGAAAAAAGTTTGGTTGAATATTGTTATCTCAGCAATTTCCCCCAGGGCTTGGACATATAAAAAATATGTTATCTTTATATAGGCCACTTGTGCTGAAAACCATCCAGAACAAAACACCATTTTATTTTTTATTTATTTATTATTTTAAAGATTTTACTTATTTGACAGAGAGAGACACAGCAAGAGAGGGAACACAAGCAGGGGGAGTGGGAGAGGGAGAAGCAGGCTTCCCGC